TTATTATTATTAAACATGATTCCCTTGACTGTTACATGGAACTCCAACAAACTGGTAAATGCAAAGTTGGGATGCATTTGAACAATATTACCTGACCAAATATATGTAATTCTATTCAGTTTAGTCTCGTGATTCTGCAACACTATATAGCCAGAGAGTGACTCTACTATTCAGAGCTTCCAGCTCTGTGATTTATTGTGCCAGTACCCTACCTCCATCAGCGCACAGTGCTAGCCTGCCTTCTCCCAATCCAGTTTCTTTTTGTTCACTCATCTAATACCAGTCCTTAGATGAGTTGCCTGCATGGGCTTTCTTTTTTATATTTGCATACATCTTTGCCTGGTAATCCTGCAAATAAAAAAAATTCCTGTGCCTGGTTGGCTGCATTTACTCCATCACTAGATGGAGGGGGGCATTGTTACTCCCTAAGCTTGACTTCAGACATTTCTGCCATTGTTCATCTGTGTTACATGGGGGTTTATAGTTTTACAGAAAAATACAGTAATATCTCGGTTAACGAACGCTTCTGTTCGCAAACAATTCTGTTAGCGAACAATTCAGTTCGCGAACAGGAAGCTCAGCAAAATTTCGCTTCTGTTTGCAAACTCCAAATCGGGTGACGAACATGACCGCGGCCATCTGCCCCGCTCTGACATGTGGTCGTGGCTTCCTCTAGTCGAGATTGCGGTCGCAGACAGACCTGTGCACACTTTCTGTGAAGCTTTTTTGTGTGCTTTCTAGCACATACAGTACTGTATAGTATTACTCCATCCAGGATGGCTCCAAAGAAAGTGCAGAGCAAGCATGGTGGTAAAAAGAGAGTGCAGAGCGGTAATTCATTTACATATGGTTCAGAACGGATTAACCTCATTTACATTGAACCCTATAGGAAATTTGATTCTGTTCGCGACCAAAATCGTTTCGCGACCACGTTCGTAGGGGTCAGAACGGATTAACCTTATTTACATTGAACCTTATGGGGAAATTTGATTCGGTTCACGACCAATTTGGTTCGCGACCAGAATCATGGAACGAATTAAGTTCATGAACCGAGGTACCACTGTATAGGTTTTTTTCTTCGTTCTACTTAACTCACAGGAAGTGACAAGGGCACTGCATTTCTGGCAAGATCAACATTTTCTGCATTTGCTGAAAAATTTATTAGCCTGAAAAAAGGAACCTAATGTAGCCACATCCAAGGACTGATAAAATGCAATATATTACATTTTCGTTCTTAGGTTCTTAGGTAATAATATTAGACATACAACCAAATGTGATAAAAAAATTAGCTCTTTAGATGTATTTAATATGGGGTGTGCCACATAGACCTTCACCCGGTGTGCACCAATACCTAGTAAGTACGTTGGACCCCTGACTGTTAGACCCCTGCTCTTAGAACCAAATGTTGCCCTTTCTAACTCACTTGAGGAACCTATTCTGCCGTATTTCTACCAAAAGCAGATTTCTATTGGTCAATGAGGCAGGCAGTCAAAGTGATGGGCCAGTAGTATAATGTGAGTTGCAGGGGGTAGCGGCAAGTTCCAGCACTAAACAAAAGTGTTGGAGCTTTGACTGTCATGATGCCCTGGTGTTTACCCATCGCAGGGAGGTTTTGGATACCTTCTCTAACCTGCTGTTGTAGGTAAAAGCAGGTTTATCTAGGTGCCTGTATTTTATAACTGCAGCATTTTTTTTCTGGCAGGGTCACAAAATCATCACATCCATAAAAGAGTTCCCTTCAAAGACGGTAAATACTTACATGTCCTGTTGCCTGCGCTACCGAACAACACTGTAATACAGATAAATCATCCCCTAAAGTCTATTCAGAAACCTACACTTCCAGGAGTGTTGATCTTTTGGTCCTGCAGCACTCAGTGGTTTCTCACACTAACCTCTACATCAGTAAAGGACACATCAGTAATAACTTAGGGTTGGTGGCAGGAATCAGTGAGTGCAGCAGGGGACTAGGTAGAAGAGACTTCAGGGGACAATTTTTCTTTATTACAGCGGCGTTTTGTAGCACAGACAGCATTGGAGGGAACTTTGCAGGGCACTTTGGTGCTCTTTATGGGCACTTTGGTGACATAGTCACTTTAAGCTGTAGGGCTCTATATAAGATCAATACGTAAATATTTATGTAATTTTGTATAACAGTCATGTATATGATTTTAGACATTGCTTAACATTTCAACAAAGTGCGTGAATTTATCAAAATGTTGTACTGCTAAACTATGCAGAATTTTTGGAGTGTGTACTTTTGCCTCAATCTTAGCCCACAGCCTCTGTTATAGACACTCTAAATGCTCAGTTTCCTGAACATGTAGATTATATACAATTACAGGTATAGTACTTTAAAAATAAAGATGTTGCAAATCTGTTGCCCAATAAGGGTAGCTCATCATTTTTGCATTGGATAGAAGCTTAAAGAAGAACTCCATGCAAAAATCTTCTTAAACCTTGCAGTGGGGCTATCCCTGCACTGGAAGGGTTCAGTGCTTGTTTTCATCTAGGTTTGAAAATAACAAAGTTATACTCACCTTATCCTTGCAGCCGGCAGGGATTTGTCCTTTCAGCCTCTCTACCCCTCCACTCCAGCAGTCTAAGGTCCCGTCAATCACGTGAGCACACAGAGGGAAATACCATTGCTGCATGAGAGGAGCCAGGCTGGAGGGACTGCTATAACAGCCTGCCTGCTGCAAGGTTCGAGTGAGTATAACTTTGTTATTTTCTCACCTAGACGAAAACAAGCACTTAGCCTTTGCAGTGTGGGGTAGGTAAGAACATGTTTGCCCGGAGTTCTGTTTTAATGCATATTGCAGCTGCTTTAGTAAATTTTTCTCTCACCAAAAAATGGAGTTGTTACCCATAGTCGCCAATGAGAATTCTTCTTTAGTTTTTCTATAAAATATAAGGTGAAACCTGATTGGTTACCATTGGAAACAACTCCAGTTTTGTGCCAATTTTCATTTCTTCAGTTTCAATTAGGGATGCACCGATACTGGTTTTTTCCGTATCGAGTACTGATATTTTTTTCCGGTACTGGCTGATACGGAGTACCAGTGCTGTGTGCCCAGATTATCAGGAAGTCGGTGGCGGATCATGACCCGTCGCCTGGCTTCCTGATTGCCTGTGAAGCCAGGGTTCTAGCAAAAGACCACCTGCTTCACTTGCTGAGGCTGCCTAGCTTCCAGACCAATCAGGAAGCCAGGATGTTAGTCGTGGCGTGCCACCCAGTTTCCTGATTAGTTCGGAAGCCAGGCTGCCTAGCAACAAGTGAAGCTGCCTTCCTAGCCAATCAGGAAGCCGGGAGGCGGTTCATAACCCACCGCCCGGCTTCCTGATTGGAAAGGAAGCCAGCTCCATGCTCCCTTGGCACTTGTGGTCAGAGGGAGATCTCCGGATGTTCTGGCACCAATACTAGTATTGGTATCAGTGCATCCCTAGTTTTAATGAATCATCTCCAGATTCTTTAAATGATGAAAGTTGGTATGTTTTATAATGAAAGCCAATTGATTTTGTATAATTTATATTGAAAGAGATAAAGCATTAATCCTTACA